GACGTGGCACTTTGGGACATGGTTTAGTGGGCATGGTGGTGTTGGGTTGACGATTGGACTGGTGATCTTAGAGGTCCTTTCCAATCTTAATGATTCCTAGTTTTTACTTTCATTATAAATAATCCAGCCACCAAGCCAGTAAACATGAAATTGCTACTCTCCCCTTAATTGGTTTAGTGGTGGACTTGGTAATGTTAGGTTAATGGTTGGACTGGATGACCTTAAAGGTCTTTTCCAACCTAAATGATTCTATAATTCTATGACTCTATGAAAAAGGCAGCCTTATTGCTCTCTTATTTTCTTAACAAGTGAAATTCCCTTTAAAGTTTATACTTTTTCAAAAGTTTTTTTTTTTTTAATTGTTTTTAGTTGCTTTATGCTGTGGTAGTACCCTTAGAACTGGTGTATGCATGTCTGTATATACAGTGCAGTGTTAAATTAGTGAAAGTATGTAGTTCTCTATTAGAAATCGTCTGTAACAAGATTCGTGTGCCTTGGAGTCACGGGCCGTTTTGCACACAGGGCGGCACAGTAAAGTGCAGTCACCATCAACATACGTGAGGCAGTCCAGGGGCTGATGAAAGTGATTGTTGATTTGGAGATGTTCTGGAGGTGAGATGGCTCATGAGTTTTCTTCAGTATGTCCCAGATATCTATATTTCCATCATCTCTGCCAATGAAGAAAACTCCTGGTCTTGTTAAGGACCATTGTCCCGCAGTGTATCTTCCTGCAGAGCAGCTTGACTGAAGGATCGGTCCATTCTTAATTTTTTTTGAAAATAAATAAAAGATAGACCCAACAATCAAACAGTACTATCCATTCACTACTTCAAATCTCCTATCATTTGAGAATATTCACAGTTTAAATGATCCTATTACCAATTCTACCACTGATACAATTTTTGTATCACCTTCAGCAAATAAAGAGGAGAATTGTGGGGAAGTAAAAACCTGATATCTCACTTCCAGTCTATTAAGGTAATCTGTCTATCTGCTGTTAAAATCTGTGGTCTTGAGATTTTGCCAGGTACAGCTAACCTGGATTCCTACAGGAGAGGAACTGTAAAAAACCCCATGTTTCTTTGTCTCCAGATGATGAAAAGACTGTGTCCTAAATATGAGTTCTTCAGACCTGTTTAGTGCACACTGCCTTTATTTTTCGGTTCCCCTAGCAGCAGAAATAATTTGTTGAGAAGCTACAGTTTAAAGAAGATCACTTCATTTTTTCTGTAAAAGGCAAGTTTACAAAGCTATTTCTAAAATAGTTTTCTGATGTGAAGAAAAAGGAAAAGCTTTTTTAATACCAAATTTATTTCTAAACTATGAAGTTTTGTGATTTACAAACATTTCTGAAAATACAGTCTCTGAGGCTATTATAGTTCCGTCTTGTGTATCTGTCAGTTATGTTACATCTGTGTTAAAGTAACTTACTGTAACCCCTTCTCTCCAAATGGCAAAATTCCGGCCTCCAACGCTTAGAATGATGTCTTTAAAAAATGGAGATCTCTGGAGAGTGTTGATAGTTTCAGTGTGGATGATGTATTTCTGAGCGTGCTTCTGACCTAATGGAATGAAAAAGGCAGTTGCTTGTAACTAGTGCTTTAGTGATCGTCTTCACAACGGGAGTTACGCGGGGGGGAAGCAAGAGCGCAGGTTCCAGCACAGGCTTCAGAGAGACTAGCCTCATTTTTTCCCTCACAAGGTATAGGAATTGGAATTGCCTCAAGTGTAGTTACTTCCATGATTTGTGCCAGTAGGTACATAGCGATGCACCTGCGATACTGGAGAGGGGTTTTGCTATCCTGTCATGACAGCTCAACTATTTGCACTTTTGAGGGTGTACTGCTAAATCCTGGTGTCATCAGTGAGATAGACTATTATAGCAGATGAACAAGAACCTTAAAAAGACAGAGTATAGGTGCAAATATTTTAAAGTTAGTGATATATTAAGGCTTAAACAGATATTGAGAAACTTGAACTTACTAACTGGTTTTGCCGAGTCACTATGAATTTCCATTTCCCAGTCGGAATAAACAATTTCTCCATCCTGTGATGCCAGAAAAACCAAGTAAATGCATTTAATATTAAATATGTAAATTAAAATGAAAGTTGGCAGCCAATGACTGAAAAAACACTAGAATTTTGTATCACCATTTTTCAGTTATGTATTGCCAAACCACCTTTACTTACCATGATGTGTGTAGGCAGTCCTTCCTGCAGAATTAGGTGCTTGATTTTTACAGTTCATGCTTTGCTCCAGTATTTGGGGAAAAGGTGACCGGAAGCAAAAAAGTAGCTAGCTATAAGCCAAATTTTCATTTCCACATGAACTCAAAACTGGGAAGGATTTTGGAGTTTTAGATACGTAGGGTAGGTAGAGGGCTATGAATAGCTGGGACTTCCTAAAGTAGAAATAAGTTGGGGGAGAAATTGTAGTATAAATATTTTCACCTGACATTTGGGGGAAAAAAAAAATTACTATTCTTATGGGTTTTGGAATAAGGAAATACTGTTTGGTTCCTCGTGGCAGGTAGTTAAGTTCAACATATTTTGGAAATGTCTTCTAATTCTGCCCTTCAAGTAAGGGTTTCATAGTCTACCAAATATTTGGGCTTTATTATTATTTTAAGCATGTAGCTTAAATGCATTAAAATGAGAATAAAAGGTGGCATGTCCAGAAAGATCTTTTTAGTTAGCACCTGAAGAAAACATGCAAGTCCATACGTTTCTGTAAACTTTATTAGTTAATTGTTCAGTCTTTTGGATATCTTGGATTAACATTTTCATTAGAAATCTGTTACTTTCACTTACTTCAGTTCCAACGAAAAAGTCAGTGGAGATATTCTCTAGTACTTTCAGATTTTTGCTTGAAGGAATACTCATCTCTGTATATGGGCTCTCTTTGGCAGGTACTTCTAGTGCGTTCAGAGATTGCACCTTCTCTGGGAAACAGTACCGATACATCTATTTATTATACACTGCAATTTATCAGACCAAGCAAATCCTTTGTCTTATAAAGGTAGTTGATGGATATCGAATGGGGAGTTTCAAGAGGAGAGATGAAGAAAGATTGCCAAGTAAAGCAGCAGTTTTGCAGGGTAACTGTTCCCTGGTGGAATCTCCCCATTGCTGCAGCTGCTCTGGGGTCAGTGCTTCCCGCACCCAGACAGCTACTTAGGGTAACACCGTTCTGTTCTTCATCGGTTTTACACAGCATCCGTGTCTCTGTGGGCACTGCCCTTGCGCATCCTCCTCAGCTGCTGCAACCAGGAGCTAACGTTTCTGCTGCAGGGAATGGCACGACCTGCCTGCTGCAGTCTGTGGCGTGACAGCGTGCACCGGAGCAGCCATGCCACAGCAGCTCAGCTGCCAGAAGGGCATTTTCTGGTATGGTTTGCAGTCACTCTCTCAGATACTCCAACTCTTGGGCTACCTGTGGGTCAGCTTGCCAGCTTTACAGAGGGATTAGTAGTGTAGCCCTGCCACAAAGTACTGTAATAAGAAGTGATCTGCTACGGAACTTGCAGTGCTAACTTCACCTTCTGTAGTGAAAAGTGACACCTCTATCCAAAGCACTACAGAAACAGAATCGTAGAATCTATATACTGTCACTCCAGGATTATTTTTTCTAAAAACAGTACTCTATAAGGGCTGAAAAGGACATACTGTTTCAGGAATAAAGAGGCTGGGTGGGGACTTGCATGGGCTATTAAGTGAAACCTGGCAGAGTTACTGTGGATACAGAACTGCTCTTTTTGTATTCAATACATGTACATATCTTTGTAGTCAATACATGTATGTTGCATTTTAAATACCAGTATATTTACGAAACCTTTTTTCCTGGATGCATTTTGCTATACAACGTTTTGCTGCTCGGCTTTCATTATGTTTCTCTGAAAGATAAACTTATTAAAAACATTTTCCCCAATAAGGTGTAATAAAAATATTACCTGAGGGTTTGGAATGATAATGCAGTTCCTTTAAACTAATTCTGATGGGACCGTACTCTATGTTGGTATCACTTTCGCGCAGGTTTATCTGTTCAGAAAAAATGCATTTGCTAACTCAATTTGTCAGATCTTTGAGGTACAAGACTACATGACTTTCTGCCGTAATGGAACAGGTCTTTGCAGTTTGCAGTGTGTTTGTAATACTCCACGAACAGTATTTGCTGCCTCACGCGCAAGCACAGAGAATGCAAACCCGTGGTTTCTCCTGTGTTATCCTTTCCCTGTAAGGACTTCGCCATGTTCCTAGCAAAGAAAACAGCCCCAGTGGTCATGCTTGTTCAAGAACTGTACCAGCTGCAGCTATTCTGAGCGGCACAGATCAGCAGATCCAAAATTACTATTTTCTTTTTTTACCTAACAATTATTTTCAGCCTTGCTTTTTTCACAAACTGCTATGACCATTTTCATCGGACTGACTGTCAGGTTGCCAGTAATTATGGTTCTGTTGACCATGGCCATGTTTCAGTTTGGGACCCACTGAGATAGACAGCACAGCGGTTGAAAAGGCTGACAGGAACTTACGCTATTAGTACAACTACTTTTGCACCTACTGCAGTTTTTAAGAGGCAGTCATGCTGTTTCTTGTGAGTTAGCTTTTCAAAATGCATTTTATTGACGTTTCAGAGGAACGTTGAAGTCTTTCACTTCATAATCAGAAGGAAATTCACAAGGAAGTCACAATTTGCTGGAAAAATTAAAGAGTTGGGAAGCAAAAGAATATATTTCTGTGGAATTCTGGCCATATCTACAGTTTGGCTTGATCCTTCTGTTCTATATTTGTGTACAGTACCTTTATGAGGGGTTTCCAGCAGACATCTGGATGCTTAGAAGTATCTGGAACATCAGGGGGCACATAAAAAGTTTCCTCCTCTTTTACTTTCTCAGATGAAGGTTGTTCAGGAAGTTTGGTGGCTGGAATATCCCAAAATAATACTGAGCTGCAAAATGATTGTATAATGTTATTCCCTGTTTTTGTTTCAAAGTCAGATGCAGTTCTCCACACATTTTAACGTTGCTTTTTTTTAGCCTTTCATCTTCAAACTTTACATAGCAATAGAGACTCTGAAAAGCAGACAAATGCTGGGTACTTAATTGCTTCTTTTGTAAATGATGGCATATATTCCTTTATTCACCATTTCATCAGTTATTAACTATACCAAAGCAGCTAGATAGCATTCATACAGTTTGCTTATGGAAAGTAACTGGGTGAAGTTACTACCTGGCACTACTGCCGGGTGAAGGCACTACCTGGGTGAAATTCCTGGAGGCTGAGAGAACTGGACAGAGCCCTGTAGCAGGTAACCTAGTAGTGCAAATCGAACCTTGTTCCCGATTCTTGTGTGTATCAATTTATTTGCTGACATTCAAGGCACTCTGATTGCTCCTGTTGCTCTGCTCCGGACATTCATTCACAGCTTTGATAGAGACAACGATAATTTTCCTTATTGCTGACATCTCTT